AGACATTGTCTAGATGGGCGGGATACAAATTCAATAAATAAATAAATAAAATAAATTGAGAGTGGAGGATCCTAACCTGTATCTAGTGTACACAACCTAATTCAAGTCTAATTCTCATCCTATGTTTAGGATGAGGGTTTTAGCCAGATTGGGAATAAATCTAGGACAGCAGTAGATACATTAGCACAGACTGGATTTAGTGTACAGTATTATTTCAAGACTCAAGAGCCATGTAAACATTATTTTGGGTGTACACATATATTGTTGATCCTGAGTCCATCCCTGTTTTTCCCTATTGTATAAAAAATACTTTGGGTTACCTATGATAGAAATGGCATCTGTTTTCTCCATTTTCTTTTCAACCTACCATCCCTTCAACCCCAGCTGGTAGAGGCTATATTGGAGGTGAAAGAGCCACACCAATGTGAAATAACCAAACCTATATATATTTTCAAATTTAATGGCAAAACAAAACAAAGACACAGTGATGCTTGTGCATGAAGAAATCAGTGAACAATATTTTATTAAAGCCAACCAAAATGTCCCAAAACGTATGCAGGCTCCCGAGTTCTTCATCTGATTAGGTGGTACAAAAAAACAGAGCATGAGCAAACAAGCAAAAGTCTTAAAAATGATTGAGCTGTTGTCTCTGTGAGGCTTGCTGTGAGTCTCAAGAAAGTTATTGCAGACTGAGTGTTAATTTCCGGGGTGTCACATTTCACCTGCCAATGCATACTGGGATACACACACACACAAACAAAAAGCAGTATCTGTTCTCTATTTCTGCAGACATCAAAGCTGCCTGCAATGCAGGCTGGGAAAATCACTCAGATTTCTAAGTCATAGAAATGAATTACAGAGAAACATGAGTCTTTATATGAACAAAATTGGGCATTACATTTCAATTAATACTGCAGGTAGAAAAGGTGTACTCTCTCCCACCCAAGAAGAGCACTGGGAAAGGAAAGGCCATTCTCATCCACCCGGAAAAAGAGCAGAAGTCTCACTTCTGTCCTCTTTGCTATAAAGAACTCTGCTTTAAAAGTCCTGGGATTATAAAAACCAAGGGGAAGCATACTGAACATCCTGGATAGAAGTAGTTCAAAAAGCTGATGAGCAATTTATGTACAGTATTGTGACTGGAGATTAAGAAATAAGGGCTATAATAGTTACGTTTTCCCCACTTGGTGAATAGCTGCAAGATCAGTGTTAACAGGAGTTTGTTTTGTGAGACAGGAGGCGAGAGGGGTATCCCACTCGCTGGAGGGCTATCCCTTCTCTGTACGAAGAGAAGGAGATACAAACCCAACTTGTCCCAACACTTAAAAAGACAGAGCAGCGAGGGACAGAAACAGATGAGCTAGAAGGGGAGATGCAAGGACTGACTATTGAAAAGGCTCCAGGAGAAACGGTGGAAGAAGAGGGTAGAGATTGAGGTGGGAACAGCAGAGATAAAAAGGAAGGAAGAGCAGCTACCGCCAGGCTGGGAGTGGGTATGGATGGAAGACCCATGGACCGGAGCTTGGGAGAGGTTAAAAGTACCCAAGGAAGGGGCAGATTATAGGAAAAGATGGGAGCTTCCCCCCAGATCGTCTTATTGGGAGAGGTGGAGGCTAAAGAGTGGAGAAGGAGGCTTAAAGAAGAAAAAGAGAAAGTTGAGAGAGAAGAGAGAGAGGCTGGAATGGAGGATAAACGAGATGAGGAGAAAGGGGTACAGGGAAGACCCTGGAAGGACCCTACATCAGAAGGATGCGCTGTGTGGAATGACAGCTGGGATGATGAGACTGTGCCCTTGTTGGAAGGTGAGGAAGCTATAGCTCCCAACATCTTTACAGATTGGCCGGGTCCCTGGAGAGAAACCCGTTCTTAGATGACGATTGGAAACCCCTTCAAGATCTGTTGTTGGAAGGAGAAAAGTGTTGGAATTATGTTATGGACATTGGTTATTTGTTAAATACTCCAATAAATATTTCACCTGTTTCAAAACAGCAAAAATCTCTTGATTTATTTGAAACAAGTAAGGAGCCCAGAATCGAACCCTCACAGTTTTCCATTTGGAAGGGCAATCAGTAGATACATGTGATAGTTTGATAATATTTGGCTTATGTGGAGCCAGCTTGTGTGGCCTTGGGCAAGTTGCACAATCTTATGGCACCCCCTGCAGAAGAAAATTATAAACCACATCTACGTATTCTCTACCTAGAAAACCTTGGCAAGGGTCAACCTGAATCTCAATCAACTTGACAGAACACACTTATTATTATAAACATGTGGGGCCTTGCAACAAAATGTAGTATGTCATGGTTCTGTTTCTAGTTGTACCATTCAATTTGACCTCAGTTATGAGCTGTCCACCAACAGTCAGTGGGCTGTACCAGGCGAGCATGCTCTGTCTTCCTTGGACTATGTTTTTCTTTTGGGGCGGGGCAAAGTGGATACTGTATGTTCCCCTGCCAACATTAACATCTTTTATTTCTTAATTAGTTGATGTCTTTGGGCAATTCCAATCTTTGAACATAGAGACAATCTGAAATTGCTTTTCACAATGAACCAGGAAGTAACCTACCAGACAAAGGTTTGCTGATAATATTAGTTCATAATATTGCTCCAGCTAATTAATTCCATGCATTTTCCCTCAATATTTGGGGGGAGTGAGCTAGCACAGTGATTTTTTCCCTCCCCCCCAATATGTTTCAATATCTACAAAACATAAAAGTTCCCCCACATATGCTACACCTGGCACAATTTGGGCTCCAACTCCACAACCATGGCAAGACCATTAGTAAAAACAAATCAATGCAAAAAGGGTATTCTCTGCTTTTCTGAACTTACCAATAAGAAGAACTTGGACCGCCAGACTTTCTGCCAGCATCTCATTCTGTGTCCACCCCATAACTTTTAGACTTTGAGGGATAACTACATTGGTCATTTACCCTTTAATTTCTATCAGACTGGGCACAGATTATTTTGAAGTAAAACCCAATCATGAGATGACATAAAACTCAATATAGGGAAGCCTGTGGAATGTTCTTTTGAGTGTGGAAATATCTTGTTCTGTTCATTCAGCAGGGGTGCTTTAAATTTATTCTGGGCAGTTTGATTTCACTTTTATCCACTTTCTATGCAGTGTGATCATCTGAGTGGACGCAAAGAGGAAATCTTGGGGGTGTCAGCACTCAACTGCGTGCTCCTGGTCTGCAAACAAGTTATTAAAAATATAGGTTTAAAATCATTGCTCATACAAGGCAAAGAGAAACCTCAGGTACAAAACCTTTCACCAGTAGAAAAAGCAGCATGATATTTCTACTAACTCAAGAGTACTGTACAGCAGTGGTTCTTAACGTGGGCGATAATGCCCCCCAGGGGGCGATTTCAT